ATTGTTTTATCTTACTTTCCTGCCCGAAGAGGACAAAGCACCTAAGCCCATTTATTCTGCATTTTAATTTTTTTGTATATATTCATAAAGATCACGGTGGCCAATTTTAAATAACTCGGTAGTATTAATTTTAAGTTTTATTTATTTACATATTTTAAATCCCATATCAGAAGCGTTTAATGTTCTCTATATTTTAAGTATTTTATGGTTCGTTACCAAGTAAATTAATATTTTAAAACAGGTATTTTAATCCTATGTCCTTTTTTTTTAATTATTTTTTGCATATACCAGGATTTTAACTATGTTGAGTCTTAAGATTTTTATTATTGATTTTAAAGAACCATAATTAGCTCCTTTTCCCGACTACAAAGGGACGTGGGAATCAAGGAACAAAAAGATTTTGCCTGGCCTACTAAGCCGACAGTCTGAGGAACCCCGGAACGGCCTTTCCCTGTCCAGTTAAGTGGTCGTGTGGGTAGTGTTTAATATAGGAGGTAAGAGATAATTTGCGGGATATTTGTTCGGCCAAAATTGACTTAATAGTGACCGGTGCTTTCTTATCTTGTTTTTTTTTTTATTTGTTTTATCCAAGTTCCATTTTTACTGTTTTATCGTTTGTTTTATCTTGCGTGTATGGTTTCATTTTATGTTCCTTTTGTCTAGTTTTCTGTTTCACTTTTATCATTCGTTTTCATTGTTTTCATTGTATCGTTTTATCGTTTGTTTTATTAAGTGTATTTTATGTTTCATGGTTTGTGTTGTTTCATAGTTCGTATTTTAATGTTTTCAGTTCCTTTTTGTACTACTTGTTCATCTTACTCTCTCTTATTTGTATTTGTATTCCAATTTGTTTTATCCTTTGTTTTATTCGTGTTTGTTTGTTTTATCGTTTCATGTGTTTTACTGTTTGTTTGTCTTTTAACTTTTATCTGTAATAAACCCTGTTTTACGTATGCTTAGTCTTATAAACGCCCGACTTTAAGAAAAGGTAACGGTACGATTGCTACCTACAGTGAATGGTGATAGTTTTTCTTTATTTTAATCAAGGTGGTTATTTGCTTAATTGTGTATACGTACATGCCTCTCCTCGGCTTACATCACACTTACCAACCTTTATATTCTCGCGCCAAACATATACACCACACACACACACACTACACTGGCAGTGACTCCTCTTTTCATATCTTGCGAGAAATAATTGTATTTAGCTTTTGCTACAAGGGAGGGGAGAGAGAGAGGGGGAGAGAAAGAGAGAGAGAGGGGGGGAGAGGGGAGGAGAAAGAGAGAGGGGGGGATGAAAAAGAGAGGGAGAAAGAGAGAGAGGGGGGGGAGAGAGAGGGAGAGAGAGGGGGGGAGAGGGGTAGGAGAAAGAGAGAGAGGGAGGGAGGGGAGAGAGAAGGGGGGGGGATAGAGAGAGGGAGGGAGGGGAGCGAGAGAGAGAGAGGGAGGGAGGGGAGAGAGAAGGGGGGGGGAGATAGAGAGAGGGAGGGAGGGGAAAGAGAGAGAGAGAGAGGGAGGGAGGGAAGCAGAGAGAGAAAGAGAGAGAGAGAGGGGGGGAGGGAGGGGGAATCGTAGATTTGGGACAATCTGATGTGATCTGGGATGTTTTTCGGAGGTTTAAAAAAGTTCATAAAGCAATGCATTTCTTAAAAGGATACACATGAAGCTTTTTCGAAAACTGCAGAATTTTTTTCACTGAGTATCGGACACATTCCAAGAACCTGTTCTAGCATATCGCTCTAGGAAAGTTATGGAGCAAGTAGTTTATATAAATATGCAGTCTATTAGCATGGTAATGATAAGTTACTGTTAGTCTGTGTGTGTGTGTGTGTGTGTGTGTGTGTGTGTGTGTGTGTGTGTGTGTGTGTGTGTGTGTGTGTGTGTGTGTGTGTGTGTGTGTGTGTGCGTGTGTGTGTGTGTAGATACATAGAAAGAGAAAGAGAGAGAGAGAGAAATAGATAGATAGGTAGATAGAGAGAGAGGGGGGGGCGAGAGAAAAGTGAGAAAGAGAGAGAGTAATAATAACAATAATAATTTTTATAATCCAGCGGGTCAGCAAACTTGCTAGACGAGATCGCTACTACTGCACCACAAGAGAGAGGAGAGAGAGAGGGTGGGGAAGAGAGGGAGGGAGAAAGAGAGAGAGATGGGAGAAAGAGAAAGAGAGAGAGAGCGAAAAAGAGAGAGAGAAAGTGAGTGAGAGAGAGAGAGGAGGAGAAAGAGAAAGAGAGAGAGAGAGCGAAAAAGAGAAAGAGAAAGAGAGAGAGAGAGAGAGAGGAGGAGGAAGAGAGGGAGAGAGGGAGAAATAGAGGGGGGGAAGGGGGGAGGGAGGGAGGCAGAGAGTAATAATAATAATGATAATAATAACAATCTTTATTTCCAATTTACATTGATAATTATTTACAATAGTACTTAAAAATAGCACAAAAGTAATGCAATAATACATAAAATGATACAATAGGATATATAATAATTCAGCAGTGCATAGATTAATACAGTAGTACACGATAAATAATACAGTAGCAAAGTAGGCAGGACAATGTAAAAAACAATGTAAATTTTGTAGAAATAATAATATTATACATATTGGATAATTCAAACAGTATCCTATTGATATCACAGTTATTATCACATCATCTTGATAATTATCTTTGTCTGTGCAGAAGATATTTTTTTAACCTACCTTTAAAAACAGGTAGGGAACCTGTATTCTTGACTTGGGATGGAATCATGTTCCAGACTAGGGGGGCTCTCACCATTAAGATTTTTGTACCAGTCAGAGTCTTTGTTCTTGTTACAAACAGATTATTACTGTCTCGTGATGGTTCTTCTAATTTCATTCACAATAGAAATATCAAATAGCCAATCGGGTAGATGATGATTCAAGATTTTATAAGCTAAAATACATATTTGTATTTGTTGTCCACTCTTAACCATTGCAGTTTATTAAAAACAGGGGAAACATGGTCATATTTCTTTAAACCGCCAAAGGCGGTTTTTGAACTCATTCATTCTGGATTTTGTTTGTTGTTCCCCATATTCTCGAGCAATAATTTATAATGCTAAGGACTAATGATTGTACAGCCATTGTTCGTGTGGCACTTTTAAACCATTGCCCTATTCTATACAGTAGAGATACAGTAGTGTACCGATTACTTTTCTATGCATTTCATCAATATGCTAGTTGAAGAGCACATTTACTGATCAAAGTAGACTCCTTGGTGCTATAGAATTTCCAGTGAAGTTTATGGCAATATTCTCTTGTAGTTGTGATATATAGTGTCGTGAACCAATAAATATGCAGGGAGTTTTCTTCTCATTAAGTAGCATTCTATTTCTTTGAAAATACATGTTTAATGTTGATAAGAGATTCCCTGCTCTTTTTATCATTTCTGATATGCAATCAGGATTTCCAGCCAGAAGTAAATGAGTGTCGTCTGCATACTGAACCAAGAAACAGTCTGGAAGATAATCTGATAGGTCATCCACATACACTGAAAAAAGAATTGGACCTAGTACAGATCCTTGAGGAACACCAAAATCGACATTTCTTGGTAGAGTAGAATATATACATATTTTCTTGTTGTAAATATTGTTTTAGATCTTATCTCATATCTTGAGGAGAGCTTTTGTCTAAAACCGTGTTGACTATCAGCCAACAGTCGATTTGACTCGAGAAACGAAATCAGCTGGTTGGCGACAACTTTCTCCAAAATCTTAATATTAAAATCATCGATGTCACCAATTTATGCAGGGGAATGACATGAGCGATTTTCCATAAGTCAGGAAACGTTTTAGTGGCAATTGAGGTATTGACGATAATCCTAATGTAGAACACAGTTATCGGCAGTGAATCTCTTATGAAGCGAAATGGAATCCCATCCGAGCCATATGAATTAGATTCTTTTAAACCTTTTATAGTTATAATAACTGTGTTACAATCCACAGGTTCATGTCTGAAAATATTAGGGGATTTTTCACTCAAGGTAAGCGATTTATTGGCAAAATTATTAGCATCAACATCATCAGATGACATATTTGCTTGCGTTTAGAAGCAAAATGAAACAACAACATGTCACACCAAGAATATCCATTGCAACAAATGGAATCTTTTTTTTTTCGAAAGCAAGTCTGCCAGCATTTGCAAAAAAGTTACTGAATTCCTCCGCTCTTTCATTTAGATTATTGCTGTCATCAGTTTGTTGACGGACTTATTCCGCAGACATATGTTCCTGAAACAATCCAAAATATAGGTGAGAGAGGGGGGGGGTCGTAGATTTGATGTGATCTGGGATTTTTTAGATTTAAAAAAAGTTCATAAAGCAATGAATTTTTTTAATGATGCACATGAAGTTTTTTTGAAAACTGCAGAAGAGAGAGAGAGAGAGGGAGAGATACACATGAAGCTTTTTTGAAAACTACTGAATTTTATGCACTGAGTATCGGACGACACATTCAAAGAACATGTTGTAGCATTTCGCTCTAGGAAAGTTATAGGTGTAATAGTTTATATAAACCCTACAATCTATATACATTGCATTGACGCGGATATACGTAGCTAATTTACATATATGCATCACACTTGCGTTAGTTCTCTGAAGAGATTCAAGTGATCGGCTGCTTGACTATAATCTCTCTGAATTTTCATTAATAATAGTAAACTTTAGTAACGGTTCGTAAAAAACGTAATAGTAGTGATAATAGTTATTGGTTGATAGATAATAATAATGAACTTTTGTGTCCAAAATATGAAAAATACTCGCTTGTATCTGCTTTCTTTGCGAGTCTTTCTTCATTTTCATAAATACTCCCTTGGCAGCTTGAGCAATTTTAGGAAAGTTTTGGTAGAGTATCCTGTCCATATCCGGTTACATCATAGTATATATCCTATGCAAGGAGAGTGCAGGATTTGAGGATAAAGATAAGCAGAACCTCGTCCGGTCTATGAATCCCTTTCACCATGTAACAGTACTCGAGTAAACGTCGCAGTAGTACTATACCTTCGTGTGTTCCGGACTCTGGATTCGACGTTCCTCCTTGTTCTCGCGTTCCCGTGTCTCGTGTCGTGGTATGTTCGGGGTTCCCAGTGCAGTATTTGGGTGTCTTTGTGATATTAAACTTCGCAGGTGAACAACGTGTCAAGAATGGACACCAAAGCAAACGAAAGGAAATGTTTTGAAAAGACGCCATATTATCTGTGCTTTTCTAATCGACAAGCATCTATGTTTAGTACAAAACGCATGCCAGTGCAGTGTGAGATGCAGGACAAAGGCTGCATAGACTGTAATGAAGTAGGATGATGGCCTAAAGAAAGGCAAAACGTTTTATAATGCGATTTAGCTACCTCTTTACTAATATTCGTATATCAATCTTACACCACTGTGTTTCCCATACATTGTACACGAAAACGCGCACGCGCTCAAGAACACACACAGACAAACACACACACACATACACACACACGCACATACACGTACACCGCCAATGTTCATGAATAATCACAAGTGCGCGCGCCCGCACACACAAACCCACACAGATATACATATACATGTGAGTTCGTGCGTGTGTGTAAGGGAATTTTATGATTGAACGATACATTTTTGCAGAAATGTCATTGCTACAGTAATGCAAACACTATTTATCAGTCTGCGAATATCTGTTCTAAACTTTCACAAGAAAATAAACAAGTGCTGTCTCCTTTCTGCTCACAGACTGAATTTCGCAAGCACTGCCTCCCGTCTCGACACTCTGAGGTTCTGTCCGCTGCCAGTCTAACTAAAGCTCGGCGAACTCAAGGTGAGCAGCTCCGAGCAAAAACGAGATGCATGTTGG